AAAAAGGAGTGCACCAGGGAAATTGACGAGAGGAAGGGTGGGTGGGGACTTCTGAGGGGTTCATGTGGATAAACAAATGGCCGATTACGGAGGGCGACTGTCATATGTCTAGCATCCAACCTCTACAACAACCTGGACTTTATGGAAAAAAAAGAAAACGGATGTGTCGAACAACCAGGGGCAGAATTCTTTTCTGTTTTGGCTGGCAGCGGTGTACTTTTTTCTTTTTCTTTTTCGGCTAGTACCTCTAGCCATTGTGGTCCAGTGGCCCTGAGCCCTGAAATTTTTATTGGCTTGATTTCCATTGTCAAGTTTGACACGGCCCCAGCCTTGCTAAAAAGAAAACTCGTCGACTATAGAAATTTTGGAGGCCCAGCGTCGTAGATAAATTGAATCGCCCGTGGGCGGCCTCTGAAAAGGGCCCGCGGACGATAGCTGGACGTACTGGTGGTTTAAGCATATGAAAGACGCCCTTGATATTGGAAGGGTGATGGTCTCGAGTGCTGGTCGCACTGAGGTAGGATAGTAGGGATAGGGGGGTGCACCTTGACTATTAACGTGGGGTTGGGTAGGGAAGGTAGGGCTTTGCCTGTCAGGACAACCATCGACTGCCGCTGCCAGGAATCACTGTGTGTGTCTGGACCTTGGCCTCTACAACACCCTAGGCTTTAAAGAAAAAAAGGGAAAAAAAACAAAAACAAAAACAAGATGAACATCGTATAGAAATCAGGGCACTAGGGATCATTGATAGAACGACACTTGAACAAAGAGGAATAGCCCTTCCCTGGTGCAAATTCTGCAGATCTGCCTTTCCTTCTAAATTAATCCCGGAAACCATAGAACATATATTCCTACAATGCCCAGGGTCGGTTTGGCTATGGCGGTGGTGGGACAGGATTTGGAATCAGATTGAAACTTCCCTACCGTGGCCATGGAGTTGGAAGGCTCTCCTCCTGGAAACCTGGACTCCTTCCTGCGAAGATAGTTTCACAACTAACTTATTCACGATCGGAAGAAGGGCTGTCATATGGGCCATATGGTCTCGCAGGTGTACATTTGAAATGGAAGATGCCCGGCTCGGTGGGCCTGAGTTCACGGATACCATCAAACAACAAGTCCAACTAGAGATTCATTCTAGATGGGATTCACTGAAGGAAAAACTTAGATACTTAACAACAGAAAAGGATATTAAACAACATATAAAAACCTTCAATCAAAACTGGCTTGGACGGGACCAAGGTGGTAAAATAGGGCAGGTTAAATGGAATGGAAGGTGTGATACTGCTCACGATGAGCTCCCAAGAAAGTACTACCTACATTATAATTACTGGAGTAACATTGATCCTTCCATTCCCCTCAGACCTCTTTCTGAATTTCCTGATCCTTTCCCTCCTTCCAAGCTGGCCTTAGTTCCTGGTTCATGGTTTGGGTTTGGGCTTGAGTGATTAACTATTTCACACTATTATGATCATCTGCAGAGTCCAGTTCCATCTAAGACTTTTGATAAGTAATTTTTTGGATGCTAGTACTGCTAGGTGTAATCGCATATTTGGCGCCCGGGTAAGGTGAAGAGGCACAACTCTAGCATTCCCAGATCTGAAGGGTCTTTGGACTCACTTTTTCAATATCAGACTTGCTGAGTGTTCATTATTGATGATGTAAGGGACGCTGGACCCGGTTTCCAGCAGGTGTAGCTCCCCACCAATGGAACGGAGCCATCTACCCATCTAGAGGGGTAGAGGGAGTGTCTGCTCTTATCAGCACGCCCTCCACTCCCCAATCTAGATGTTAAAAAAAAAAAAAAAAAAAGAGAAAACTAGGGCGCTCTCAGGGTTAGAGTTTGAAAATACGTTTCAAACTGCCGTTTTGGAGTCCAGTCCCCTCTCAAGTTTACACGGCAGTCCAAACTCCTAGGTCGCGTGCCTGTCACAGGGCAGAGTTTCTAACTGCAGTCTAGTCATCCACGTCGGAGGGCCAGGCCGTTTTCCAAAAAACAAAAAAAGAAACAAGAAGAAAAAAAGAAAAGCTCGTGGCACTGTATCTTTCCATGATCTAGCGGAAGATTCACTCTCAGTTTCCACGATCAAAATGTGCAAAACGAGAGTGAATCTTGGCTAGAACATGGAAAGATACAGGGCCATGATTTCATTTTTTTTGTGCAACGGGGATACAGGGGCCCAACGAGATACACGGGCCAGGCCGTTTTCCAAAAAGAAAAAGAAGAAACTAGAAGAAAAAAAGAAAAGCTCGTGGCGCTGTATCTTTCCATGTTCTAGCAGAAGATTCACTCTCAGTTTCCACGATCTAAATGTGCAAAACGAGAGTGAATCTTGGCTAGCACATGGAAAGTTACAGCGCCACGAGCTTTTCTTTTTTTTTGGGCAATGGGGATACAGGGCCCAACGAGATACACGGGCCAGGCCGTTTTCCAAAACAAAAAAGAAGAAACAAGAAGAAAAAGCGAAAAGCTCGTGGCGCTGTATCTTTCCATGCTCTAGCAGAAGATTCACTCTCAGTTTCCACTATAGAAATGTGGAAAACGAGAGTGAATCTTCGCTAGAACATGGAAAGATACAGCGCCATGATTTTATTTTCTTTTCTGCAACGGGGATACAGGGGCCCAACGAGATACACGGGCTGACAACAACGCAGAGGCCCTAGAGGATACACGTGCTGAAAACAACACAGTTTCTTTTCTTTTTCTTTTTCTTTTTTGTTTTTCCTTCTCAGATTTCCCTACCTATGCGTGTTATCCTTGGGGCCTCGTGGCGTTGCATCTTTCCATGTTCTAGTGGAAGATTCTCTCTCGTTTTGCATTTTTTTCTTTGTTTTTTTGTTTTTAGTATCTGAGCACCATCGAGTGGCTGGCCACTGCCGCGATGCCTCGGCCACATCCGAGGTAAAAAAAAAAGAAAGAAAAAAAAAAAGAAAGAGAGAGAGCATCTCGTCGCGTGGCTGGGCCACGGCCGCGATGCCTCGGCCACGTCCGATATATATATATATATATATATATATATATATATCGGGCAGTTCTATTTGTGACGATATATATATATATATATCATCACAAATAGAACTGCTCGGTAAACCGTAGGCAGAGAGAGAGAAGAGGACAACACATATATATATATATATATATATATATATATATAGATTTATATGTTTTCATTATATTATGGATATCTATTCAGTAATTGAATTAATTAATTAATATAGAATAAATATTGAATTGTAATAAATAAAGTATAATTTAAATAATAGTGTTTGTTCTATAATATGTCAATATTCTGAAAAAAAAA